TAATCAAACATGCTCAAGCCAATACTCCCTTTCCTTTTCTCCATTTTCATTTTCATTTCATTTTTTATTAACTCATCGACCCAAAACAAAATTGTGATGTCACATTCCTATGTTGGGAAATTTGTACCGTTATATTAAAAAAATATTTAGCATTTAAATTTTTTCATAATTATCATAATAGATTTGTTTGCAATCTTATGGAATATCATGAAAATATCAAAATATAAGTGTTTTTTTTTTTTAAGGAATAAGTGTTATTGTTAATTTTTGAGTTTTTAAAAATATTTATATGGAATTATAAATGCCGCCATAAAGGAGAACAACTTTCAGCATTCAAAGCTTCACCAAAGGCCTTTTTCTTAAAATTTAATTTAATCTTAAATATTATAAGGTGATGTTATCACTTGATCCTAAAGAAGACATTATAATATTTAAGAATTTTGACAACAAAAGAAGACAAAAGCTCAGATAAACCTTACATAAGACTTTTCCCACTTCTATATAATAAACAATATTAATCTTGTTTCCAACATTAATTAAAAAAGGTTGGACCCACGCAATTTCAAACCATATACTAAAAGAATTAATCAAACCTGCCACCAACATAATCTCATGCTAATCATCATCTTATCACTCTACTAATCACTGTATTTCTTTTATTAATTACAAAAAAAAGTTAATCACTGTCATGCAGCGGTTAAAGTAATATTTAAGAAAAAAAAATGAATAATATTTTATATTATCTGGAATTTAATAAAAATACTGTATTAAATAAACATTTTAAATGATATTTTAATTATCTTAAGTGGATCTTAATTTATAACAGATAAACCCATTTGTCCATTTCGGCTTGCTCGTGTAAAAAGTGTGGGTCCATGCGACTGCTTAAAAGGTTGGCCGTGGCGTCGTCTTCCGATTGGCCGACATTGACAGCCAGCCCTATTGCACTTCGGGTTGCAAGTAGTGGGTGCTAGGCCCCGTCGCACTGGATTCTTTGATTTTCTGCGAGTTTTAGTTCGACACGTGTTCGTTAAATAACCATTCACTTAACTGTTGGGATATTTTGGAGTTGTATTAAAGTTTTGCTCATCCAAACTCTTATTTAAATCGCGTGGATGGCACTCTCTTCAACGATTAAAAGTGTGATTAACATTTATTTATTAAATGCTCGTTCAATTTTCACATGATAATATATAGCGGAAATTAAATAAAATATATACATTTTATTTTAAGAATTACAATATAGTTCCTATTTAAATTCATGTTATTTTCTTTGCAAATTGTGGCTTCCCTTATACATCTTAGCATTTTTTAATCAAAATATTAAAATATTAAAACAATTTTAAAATTTTAACTAAATTAAAATTAGAATTAATATATCTTTTTAAATAAAAAATTTTCAACTATAATCCCGCCGAAAGAAGATTTGACAAATTAATACATACACATGTTGAATGTTTTATTGCCAACCCAATTAATTAATCACTTCCTTTTTTTTTTCATTTTTTAATCAAACAAAAATTAAAATTAATGTATATATAGCACGTAAAAGTGACAGATACAGCATAAAATAGTAGAATTTAAACATAAAATGCTCAACCGTGTGTCTTGTAAATGTCAATAACTATCATAACGAGGTGCTTTTAGTGATGTTCATATGATAAACATGCCTTGAATTTTGATGTCCAACCGCACAAATATAAAAAAAATGTGTCAAACATTACAGACTATTACTATAAAGTTCGGAGGTTACCATTAGGGTATATTTCATATTACTAAACAAGTAATCCGTAACGATTATCTCTTAAGACTTCAGCTAGTCAACGCGATATCACTTGACTTTAATTAATAATTATTTTAATTAAAATGTTAATAATTCGGTTAATTAATGATTATTTATTACTTTGGATCGAAAAAAATATATTATAAATTAAGTTAGTAAAATTTTAAATTATATTATTATTTTTAGTTTTATGTGATGTTTTAAATAATCGTAATCCAGTCTCTTCTATTTTACCGTTTCCCGCCGCTGCCGTCCGCCTGACGATGGTTCATCATCGTACCTATAAAAAGAAAATTAAATAATGAAAGTTTTTTCTTCTTCTCCTCCCAATAACTCTAATCTATTATTTATTATTTGTAGGGGACCATCCTTTCCTTGTAGCTGGACAGTTTGCCATAAACACCAAACAGTAACTTCTCTTTCGTGGGCCCCAATCTTTTTTTTTTTTTAATTTTGGCCATTCGGGCTCCGCAGCTTAATCGGGGACCATCAACGGGTTGCGTTGATTAAGCCGGCGGCTGTTAGACAAGTCAAAATTCCGGGAGGTTCCCACTCCCTCGTCCCTCATCACTCCACGTGTACGCCCCTGATATGCTTTAACCAGGGCGCGTGCGTCAAGCTGTGGACCACTTGTGGTCCACGACGCCTTCTGTCGACGCGTGTCTCCCTTGTCGTTGTCCCCGCAAGTGGCGGAGAGAGAATCGACGTAATTTATGGTCCCCGCCCATGGCCGGTGCTGCCCTCCCTTTTTGCGACGTTCCTGTTTCTTCTTCTTCTTCTTCTCGTTATCTTCACGGGGGCGTCACTCACCGCCTACCGCAAGTAACGCTCACACGAAACCGAACAACGTGAAAATTCCACTACAAGACATCCCTACCTTTGCGGCTCCTCTTCATTAAGAATCAAATTGTCTTCGTTAACTGTCGGGTTTTATTTTACCTGGTGCTAATTTTGTCACGCAATATTTGAGTGACGTGGAAAACACGCTCCTACCGTGGCCTGCCTACTCTAAAATTACTACGACAAAAACAACCAGCTACTCTTTTTTGATACGATGATGTACTTCGTTGTTGTAAGCACTTTCCCATGCATGTTACGCTACGCTATTGTGTTTCTCACTTTCAATAAAAAAAAAATGACACTCCTCTGACTATTAGTACTTTCCCTTAAATTTTAAAGATAATATTTTTCAGATTTAACTGTGAAACACTACAGAAATTTGAGTTTAGATTGATAAAGTATGTATGAATATGATCAAGTGTACTTGTTTACATTTCTACTTTTTATTTTGGGGGTAGGAAAGGATTCTACTTTTTCGATTCATTTCAGAACTGATTAGCAGTTAATGTTGATTTTGCATTTATTACCCAAATAAAAGTATTTATTGGCGACAAATTTGGAAATTGTTCATCAATGGTGATCAGGGTTTGGATTTGAACACTATTTCCATGGTTTCCAACTCCTATTGCGTTTATGTAGGCAAAAAAAAAAAAAAAAGTTTTAGCTAGCTTTATGTGTCACAAGTCGATATTTAAATTACGATTCGCACTATTTTAAGATTTTAATATGCATTCATTCAAAGTTTTAGATCAATCTATTTGTTACGATTCATATCTTTATGAAGTATTATTTATTTTGATCTCTATAATTTCACGATTTTATCTTATAAAAAAGTATCTTACAAAAAAAATATGATGTGAACTTTTTATACCTTAATAACTCTCTTTTTATGTTCGATATAAAATTTAAGATTCTTTTTTAGGTTCATGACATTCTCTCTTACCCAATCTCGTGACGTTCTTGTCACGGAGGCTAGTCAACCTGTTTACCTCCTTCAAGGAACTTGACGTAGATCGAACGATTTAAGACTGACTCTAATATTACTTATTATAAGTCAAAACTTAAAACTCAAATTCGCGTGTCTCTAGTATCCGGACATACACTCATATAATATTTCATATCAATTTATTTATTATAATTCATATTCTTATGAAGTATTATTTATTTTGATTTATCTGATCTTATAATTTTATCCTATAAAAGATGTCTCATAAAAAAAAATTTAAGACTCTTTTTTATATATCGTGCATGAGTATTACTATTACTAAAAGGTTAATTTTCCCCATCCTTCTTACTTGATGAATCGTCTTCATCCATTGGAAGCATTTCCTTACTTTTGGGAGGGAAAAAAACAGTAATCCAGAAACATAAATACGATTGTTTAAAAAAAATTATTGCAATTTTAGTTAAAATTGATAATAATTCGTATCAAATTTAATTTAATTTTTTTAATAATATATAAAATTATAAAATTTAATTTATATTTTTATTAAATTTTTATATAATTAATATAGATTAAAATCGAATTAAATTTTATTAATTAAATTTTATTTTTATTTTATATATTATTTTAATATATTTAAATAAATTTAAAAATAAAATATTTTATTTTATTTTATAAAAATTAATAAAAATATATAATTCAAATTAATTATTTTATTTTTATTAAAAATTTAATTTAAATTTAAATATATTTAATATTTATATTTAAAATAAAATAAAAAATCAATCCAATCCAAATATTATAATTTCTCAGCTCTGCCTTCAGTGGTACGGCAACTGTGATTTTGTCACTCATCTTACCGTACATAACACTCGCACTTCACGTTCCGACTAATAAAAGTAAACCGTCAGATTAAAAATAATTAATGTCTTTTCATCAGCCAACGACCCACGCAGGTCCGCGCAATTTTCGATTACTTGCTTTCTTTTCCTCCCCTTGTCTTTTCGGATTAGAAAAAACCGACAATAAATAAAGGTAGTAGTTCATTGAGCAACGACTGCTAATTGAAAAAAAAAAAAAAAATTACTATAAGATCGCAGTAATAGAAAACTCACATCCCAATTCGGACAAGCTTTCAATTATGTAATTAAACAATTGATTTTACGCAGAAAAGTCAAAATAATTTTCTACATTGAAAAATTAATTATTGTTAGCTGGTCATTTTTATATATTGAAAATAATTTTTTTTTAATTTTATAAATGAAATTAAAATTACTTATTTTTTTTTGTAAAAGAATATTTTATTTTATTAATGTGAGAAATTTTTATAGACATTATCACAAAATAATTTTGGAGAGAAATATTTTTATCGGACGGCGTAATCACATAGAAAAATTGTAGAAAAATAATAATGTATTAATGCGGTAGGATTAATATTAAAAATAATGAAATGGTCCCCCCGTTTCCACCCTTGAACCTCTACCATTTTCATAAGCAGATTTCTTCACCTGAAAACCGCTTCTTCAAACCGCTTCTTTCGCCTTCTCTTCTTCTCTCTTCCTTTCCCTTTCTTTCAAACTCTCTTTTTGCACGTTTCTTACAGTAACTGGTAATAGTAATTATCTATCTCTTCCTTTCTCTTACACCATATTCCTCAAAGCCTTCGCCTTTGTTTGCTCTACAAATAGGAGCAACATAAATCCCAGTTATGTCTTAAACTTTGGATTGTAAAAAAGAAAAAAAAAACAATCTTTTCCATTTTTTCCTTCGCTTTCTCTTCACCTTATCATCTCTCTCTATCAACCGTGAATTCATAATTATCATCGTCATCGTCATCATCATTTTCATCATATCTCTCTTTCGAATACGTTTTACAGAGGAGAAAAGGAAAGGGCACATGGCGTTTCACCACAACCACCTTTCTCAAGACCTTCCTCTCAATCACTTTACCAACCCACAACAACAACGAACGAACCAACAGCAACAGACGAATCAACTGCCGGAAAGCACCGGTCCCAATTGGTTAAACACTGCTCTCCTTCGTTCCCAGCAGTCTCAACCACCGCAACTGCATGCTCACTTTTCAGACCCTAACTTCCTTAACCTTCATACTACTACAACTGCTTCTGACTCAACCGTCGCTTCCCAAGCGCCCAACCAGTGGCTCTCCCGTTCATCCTCTTCGCTTCTTCACCGCAATCACAGTGACGTCATCGACGACGTGGCAGCCCCAACAGCTGGAGGAGGTGGTGGTGGGGACTCCATGATTGCCGTGGAATCGGGAGATTTGAAGAACAACAACAGCGAGACTATGAATAATAACAACAAGAGCGAAGGCGTCGTAGTGGAGAGTGTAGGAGGTGGAGGTGCTGGAGATGGGGCTATGAGTTGGCAGAATGCCAGAAACAAGGCGGAGATACTAGCTCATCCTTTGTACGAGCAACTACTGAGTGCACACGTGGCGTGTCTTAGGATCGCCACTCCAGTGGATCAGCTTCCGAGGATCGACGCTCAGCTGGCTCAGTCACAGCATGTGGTGGCTAAGTACTCGGCTCTCGGAGGTGGGACCCAGGGCTTGGTTGCTGATGACAAAGAGCTCGATCAGTTCATGGTATGCTACTGCTAAAACTGTTACTACTATTTCCTCTGCTGATTTTCTTCTTTATTTGAATTTATTCATCTAATTAGCCCGAGTCGCACTTTGGTAACTTCATGCCTGGAGAAATGAGAAGAATTAACTGCTTCTCTGGGTGCTCTATGATTGTTGCCTTTAAAACCTTCTGCCTTTTGGGTTCTTTTAAGTTCTTGATTTCGTGTGGGAATGACACTGGATTCAATTGGCACGTGGCAATTTTGTTGAGATTAATGATGATTAATCTTTTTAAACATTGGTGATTAATTCGGTGGAGTGGGATGCAGCGACAATTGTTTTTGTAATAAGATTTAGAAGGGAAAAGTTTTGGCAGTGCATCTGTTGAAATCTCCTCCTGTTTCAAAGGAAAAATGAAAATTTATGATCTTGTACCATAATAAACGAAGTTATGATCAAGAAACTATGTGTTGAAGCTCTGACAGCTTTGATTACAAATTGTTAGGCAGGCTGAATTTGAGATATTTGGCCGTCATTAAGCTGGTATTCGTGAACCAAAATAAATGAATTTGGTCGTTTTCTATTTTTTTTTTTCTTTTTGTGTGAATCGGAATGGACATTTCCATTCTCAACCATGTGAAGAACTTAATGCTATTTCTCCAAGCATCCTTGTTCACTTTTCTAGTTCTAAAAGGATAAGGAATTGCCACCTTTATGGACCCTTTTGAAGAAAAATATTCCTGAGATTAATGAACAAGCATATTTCATTCTAAAGGTTATACTTTTCTTGAATCTTGCATCAGATTCAAGTGCTATATCATTCTTGCATGTTGCAACTAATGGAATTTTCCTCACTCTATTGAGAGTTAAAATATAGATGCAAGAGCAGAGATACAAATAGTTTATGAAGAGTCGTCAACTGGAGGTTTCTCTTTGAAAAACAACTAAATTTTAATGCATCTTTGCATTTTGAAGTTGTCATAGAAGCAAAATTTTAACTTTTCCCTTCCTTGGTAATGTAGACGCATTATGTTCTGTTGCTATGTTCATTTAAAGAGCAATTGCAACAACATGTTCGGGTCCATGCAATGGAAGCAGTGATGGCTTGCTGGGAAATTGAGCAATCCTTACAGAGCTTAACGGGTATAGTTTAAATAACCATATTGATTTATATACATCCATCTGATTTCTAAGATCCTCTGGTATCATATTTGGGCAAAAATATGGCCCAAGTTAATCTTGAATGCTGATTCTGTTACAATCTCTGCTGCAATGCATAAGCAGGAGTTTCTCCAGGTGAAGGTACAGGTGCAACAATGTCTGATGACGATGACGATCAAGTAGATAGTGATGCCAACTTGTTTGATGGAAGTTTGGATGGTCCAGATTCCATGGGATTTGGACCTCTGATCCCAACTGAGAGTGAAAGGTCTTTGATGGAGCGTGTGAGACACGAACTGAAACATGAACTAAAACAGGTAATTCATGAAATTATTGTTTATAGAAATTTTTATTTTGAGAATCAAGGTTACTGACTCGTACACTCCATACAGGGTTACAAGGAGAAGATTGTTGACATTAGGGAGGAGATTTTGCGCAAGAGAAGGGCAGGAAAACTTCCTGGCGACACAACATCAGTTTTAAAAGCTTGGTGGCAGTCGCACGCCAAGTGGCCTTACCCTACAGTAAGTTCTAGGCCACAATGAACTGCATTCAACAAACAAAATAGGCACTATGATCATAACAATTTAAGCACCAATATTTTAATAGACCCTGGTCTGAGGGCAGATGAGTAAGATTGTAACCTTAACCTAAGGTAATGAGGCCTAATTTTTTTCTACAAAATGATAAAAGAGTAGTACAATTTTGTTGCAGGAAATTTGATTTCCATATTACTTAGAACTGCAGCTATATCTACATTTTAAGATGCATTAATGGTTCTTGAGCAATTTGCTCATTAATATTAATGCTGATGTTAAACATGAACCAAATGCATCCAGCTAGATTTCTGCAACAACTCTGTATAACTATCAAACAAATTTTCAGGAGGAAGATAAGGCGAGGCTGGTTCAGGAAACAGGTTTACAATTGAAACAGATAAACAATTGGTTCATCAATCAGAGGAAGAGGAACTGGCATAGCAATCCATCAACTTCTACCATCTTGAAGAACAAACGTAAAAGGTATGGGTGAATAACGCACGTCTTCTTGGTAATTTAGCATTTTTGAGAGCTCTGCACCAACCTTAATTTTGAAAAGAAGTAATGCAGGTGAAAACAATGGTGAACGGTTCACGTAAATGGAATACAGTCCAGACCAATCAAAGATGATGTCTCTTCACATTTCCACTTGAACAATTAAATCCAACATACTACATAGAAATTACAACAACATAGGCTTTCAATGGAACTGCTGCAGGGTTAAACCGAAAGGAACAGATTTTACTTAAACATGAGGGAAACAAAAGGGCTAACACAGGATGAGGTTGTAATCGATGAACCCGATTTGTGCCATTTTGCAGGTAATTTGTAGATCGAGGCACACCAGTTTGGTGCTGTGCAATATTGTTAGGAATTTTGGGAATAATATTTACTGTAACTTTGTTGGATAAATTCCATTTGCATTGGCAGATTATGATTTATGTTCTTCTTTATGTCTCTTAATATCAGTGAATAAGCCTAGTGAGGGTTCGTGACTCGTGATTGTACAGTGTAATAAACTTTGCTTCATTCCTAAAAGTCATACTAGATCATTACAGCATTTTTGGCGTTGTAATGTCGAGTCAAATTTGCAGCAAAGATGGCAGGTTGAAGCCCTCTTTATGTTCGTTCTCATCTCTACTTTTCTTCGCATTTACGGAAGAAAATGGATGGATATTCCATCATTACTATACGATACAATTAGGCAAACTTTCGGACGCTCCTGATTGTATTATGATGGTGGTGATATTCGCTGTTTATTCCTAGTTTTTGCGATCAAAAGTCCACTACTTTAGGTGCATTATTTTTTCCTAGTCGAGTAGGTGGGAGTTTTGATATATGGATGTGCATGATTGACTTGGTTTTGGTTTACTTTAAGAAAGTTTGGAGATCACACCGAAAATCGTGTTTGTCTTTACTTGAATTAAGAACCGTATATCTTTATCAGATTGTATTTGGTTTAAGATCGATCTTGGGCCAATTGGACTCAACTCAACAAACAAACCATTACTGATTCGATAATTCATACTTGTGTCAGATGAAGACGTTTTGTTGATTTAAACCATGATAAAATGAAATCCTTCTTAGTTCTAATAATAACATTGAAATTAAAAAAAAAAAAAAGGCTTTGGATTCAATGGAATGGAACCTTGAAACTTGATTTTATATGATAATAGAGAAAAGCAATGATGAATTAATGGCAACTGGAAAATGCCAAATGATAACTGGAGCTGCCAGGTCAAACTGTGCCTACCCAGGATTGGAATGAACAATTAAAGGAACAAAATCATATGCTGTTTCTTACTTTATTCTAAAAAATAAATGATAAAAAAAGCTTAAAAAATCTTATAAATGGAAGATTAACTATTTGGATAATTGAATCTTGTATTGAAAGTCTTTTCCTTTAGTAAAAAATACTCGAAAAAACAAGCCAATTTTAACCAACATTTTTATCATTAAGAATAAGAACAATGAACAATGTACAGGATATAAAAAAAATGCTGTAGACTAATTCACTCAATAATTTACTGCCAATAATAAGCCAATAAGTATATTTATAGTATCAAAGATTCAATCAAAAACCAGCTTTATCATGTCCCAGCTCCCCTTTATGTATCCCTGCTGGGGCTGCAAATCTAGCAGAGAAATCAGGGAATCCAGCATCAACTTTCCTGTGTATCCCTTCATCGAAGTTAAGTTCATAGCTTTGAGGATCATACTGAAACTGCATCGACCTTCTTTTCTTGTTAATCCCATATATGCTAAACCTGCGAATGAAATTCTTCCACTTTGGCCCTGTCAAAACCTCTGACATCTCTTTCAGTTTCTTAGCTTTTTTCTTCAACCAAGTCTCTCTTATCTCTCCCGCCTGCAGCAGATATCCATGCCCTTCATTTCTGCTTCGACGCCACCAGCAAAGTCCCCCGAGACAATCGCATCCAGAGGATGAAATCATCTCTTCAAAATCTTGGGTATATTCATCATCTCTTAATGGCCGAGTTTCACTGGAATGTGTTGGTTTCTCTTGTGGGGTGACCATGGCAGGAAGTGATGGGAAATTCTTGAGAGGAAATTAGGCAAAGACCCCTTGAAGGCAAATCCGCAAATGCAGATATGCTAATAAATGATAACAAAATCGGTGACATAAGAAGATGCAGTCATTGGAGGCATCATTTGCCGGCCAATTACCGCTCCAGCTCACTTACTCTAGCCTGTGTGGCTCCAGCTATTTCTTGACCGTTAAGAAGGGCCACTCTGGCTTTTATGCCAATCTTTCAAAATATTATTGCATTAATCTTTTAATATTTATCCATAATTGGTGGCCTAATTGGCAAGTTCTTATGAATTTGTTGATTACACTAAGGCTCAGAAGAAAAAAAAAATCCACAACATACCAGCCACTTATCTCCTGTTATTGCAATCATGGATTCTATCCATTTTATGGTTAGCATCAGAACAATTATTTGGCACTTTCCAAATAATATCCTACCAACAAACCGAATAATAATTAGGAGAATATTGACTTCGTGAATCGTGAATGCAACTAAGGCTCACTCTGTTTTTCTAAACATGTAATTAAGCAAGGGCAAGGGCCGTGAACTTGGGCTGGTGCCCATATAAGGCCTGCCTCAGAAGGGCCCGATGGCCATGCGGTAGATTAACGATGATGAAGTAATATAAGCAAGAATTAATGTTCTAGTTTTATTTTATTCTAAAATATGAAGTAGAGTTATTTAAAAATTTTGAGAATCCCAATTCAATTTCATGGTAAGTGTATTTGATGTAATTTGATGTTAAAATTATCCTAAAATTATATATATTTATGATGATTGGTGCGTATTGGATATTAAAAAGTAGGGTTCGAATTTGATTATTCACAAACAAAAGCCTAATCTGGTTAGGACATTTTTCATATATACCTACGAAGGTCATCCTTCTAATTTATTGAGAAGAAAAAAACATTTCAAAACTCTGCTTTTTGCATGAAACTTTAGACAAATATATGGTACTTTAAGAATTTTGGTTACCAACTATTTAGCTAGTTGCTTGAAGACTACTTAATTGTAACCCAAGCTTTTACATTACAAACCTTAATTTACACGACAAATCTAACTAGGGACCTCAACCTTATTATGGAGATCTATATCCAATCTACAAGCTAGTATTCACTTTTATTTGAATATTTTATAATTTTATTTTATAAAAAAAATCTCATAAATTTAAATTTAAATCTCTCTATATATATATATATATATATATATATCAAAACAGATCGTTAACGTATCCCAATGTAGGATTTGGGCATTACAAACTCCCTCGTTAAAGCTTAATGTTCCTGTTAAGCCTAATATAAAATACACAAATCTATCTAATCACACCAAATATTAGATACACTTAATATAAAATATACATAGATCACATGATCATACTAAATATTAAAATTTTAGATGTAATTCTTACTGTGTAATACTTAGTTATTGTCCAACTGGTGGTCGTTCTGATACCATTTATAGAGACCTGCACTTAACTTATGAAATATTATTCGTTTTGACTTAAAAATCTTACGATTTTATGTCATAACAAGTATTTTATAGATTTAAATTTAAATCTTTATATATATATATATATATATATATATTATAAAAGTCCTCGAAGCACCCTAATGTAAATTGAGATGTTTCACCTACAAACTAACTGATTCATTGTCTTTTATTTTAAATCCTTAAGCCATTGTGACATGCGACCTTTTTAGTTCTATGGCAGCCATTTAGCGATATTTTGTCAAGAAAAAAGATGACTACAAATTAAGGTAACATGCATAACCTACATTTTTTTGTTGTAAGCTAGAGGCATCTTCCCACTGGGCATACTTTGAAACCCAAATTTGAGGTGAAAATTGAGCCCTTCGTGGGGGCAATTGGTCCTATAAGAAAACGACTCCCCTCCCTGCAATTAAAGTCCAAAATAGATACGCACATCTTAAGCAAACTCGGGTGCAAGCCATGAAGTTTAAAGGGGTAAAAAAAATAAAAAAATTTAAAAATTAAAAGTGTTCAATTCGATTTAAATTAAAATTTTTTTATTCAATTCGGATTGAAATTGGGTATTAAATATGTATATTAAATTTAGATTGAATTTTAAATCATGTGAAAAATAAAAAACAAAACTGAATCGAATTATATATTTTTATTAATTTATATATATTGAAAATTTTTATAAAATAAAAATAATTATTTTATATATAAATCTGTTTAAATATATTAAAAATTTTATTTAAATAATTTACAAAAAACAAAAAATTGGTGAACTGAACTAATAAAATTTGATTCAGATCGATCAATTTAAAAAAAATAAATTTAATTTAGATTAAATTTTAAAAATTAATAATAATAATAATATAATTTTTATTTTTATTTTTATATTTAAAATTAAACAAAATTTGATTTAATTCACACGTATTGCGCTTAAATCAAACCTAGAATGATTTGTGAAGATGAGCTGAAAGATAGATACAAAGATATGATTGGATTATTCTCTATCTTTTGAGCTAATAATTAAAGAAATTTTATAAAAACATAAAGATCTTAGTTTCAAACTAAGATCTCTTTTCCTTTACTTCTTCTATGCCCTCCACTGAATAAAAAAAAAAAAAAAAACCATGGTTGGGTTTTTAACTGTTGACGACTTTGTCTTTTCCTAGTAAATCTGTCGGCACTCCGAAGTTCAAAGTTAAGCTTGTCGTGTTCCAATCCAATCCAACTGTTTTGTCTTTATTTTTGCGTGATTCGAGAAACGGTTAGCATATCTTTCGTTCTTATAACACACCGGCGATTCAAACTAAGCCCTAGAATATGAAAACTTATCTAAAATATTTGCTCGGAGAATCTACAAATCCTAACGGCTAGTAACTTACATAGACATATTATATTCTATCCGATATATATTTCTTGTTATTTTTCTAAAATAATTCAATATCTAAATTTAAATGAATTACATTCCATTCCACTTTTTGTCTAATTGTAAATAATAAAAAATATATAAAAATTATAATATAATGTTTAACGATCATTTTAAATTATAGTAATAATAATATATTACAATTTTACAATTTGACAATTTGGTCCTACTTACAGCCTCTAATGGAAATTATCAGCCATTAATTACACCGCTTTTTCTCAACTGTACGCGTAGAGTTCCCTTGTTACCGGAACCGGCGTTGCTTCCAAGGACTTGACCGCTGACGATTGCTCCGGCGTGGCGGGAAGCCTGGACGTGAAGTTGATAATGTGAAGCTCGTCGTATCGGCTCGACCCATCCTCGAAATTCAGAGCGTAGCTCAGTGGGTCGTAACTGAAATCGGATGAGTTGTGGTGCTTGCGCCCTCCCTTTCCGATCCTGGCGATTAGGTTTTTGCACTTTTCCTTTATGTCTGGTGATCTCGGCGTCCTTGACTTAACCTCCTCCAACTGCTCCATGGGGGCAACGCCTTCGATGTGTGGCGTCGAACGAAAGCAGCATATCGAGGATTTCATCTTCTTCTTAACTCTCTCTTGGCGATGGGAAATCACAGCTTTCGTTGTACACTTTGTTCTTCAATCGTGTAAAGCGAAGCATATATATAGGTTTATCAAAGAAACAATAATACTAAAAGACGGATAAGGACACGACTTTTGGGGCGCTTTAGAGTGGCGAAAAAACCGTGGGAGGTGCGTGGCTTAGTGGTGTTGTGTTAAACACGCGTGAGATGTTGCTGGGGTAACTCGGTAATTAAGTAATACACAAGCGAATTGTTTTCACAATGCCAGCTGTAAATATCCTTCTTTTATCTTTCTTTATTTCAGTTTTTTTAACAATGAAGCTCGACAGTTGCTGAAAATTAAAAATATTTATTTTGAATTAAATGTTTGGGATCATAAATATAACCATTTAATATATTTGTACGTTACAATGGTGCTTTAATTATTGAGCTATAAAATAATTTATTTATTATAAAATTTTAATTATATTGATTTTTTTTTTTTTCATTTTTCCTGTCCTGAAGGAGAGGCCAGTTTGGACCAAATGTGAAAGGTACTGTATTATGGGCCTGAATGTAATATAGGTCCAATTTGATGTACAAAAATATCTGCTTGCCATAGTGCAATTGTAATTGGAAAATTAAGGCCCAAAAAGATGAGTTTAATACTAAGCTCATCTAAAAGCAAGTTTGCTTTGTTTACATGTTTGAGCCTTTAACAAAGCCCAACTCAATGTCAAGTTTCAAAACAATAAAACAGAAATTAAGAATGTAATCAAATCGAATCGAGTTGAGACAATACAATGAGAAGCTCAACCTCAAACTCAACTTCACTCATAACTTGATACTTGACTTGAACTCTATCGAATTTTATTTCTAACCTACTTGATTCGTGATCGAAATTGAGTCATTCGAGCTCACTCGATGATACTTAATTAATATAAAAATATAAACTCAATTTTTATACTCGATAAAAGCTCGATTATTTATGCTCGAACTTGAGTTCAAGATCTTTTACAATTATTTTTAATTAAACCTAATAAATAATATATTTTCAAGATAATAACGATAATAATAATAACAACAATAACAACAACAACAACAATAATAATAATAAAAACTTACACAATAACCAAATTCAAGCAAATAAAAGTCTCAACAAATGATTCAAATACAACACACAAATAAAAGACATAATGAAACTTAGAAATTAAATCCTAATTGAAAAAAATTTAATATCTAAGCAAATAAGTCCACAAATAAATTACAACAAACTAACAACAATATATATGTTGCATTCATAATATTATGTCTTCAAATGAACATTGGGCTCATATTGTTTTTCAACAAACCTACACAAAAGAGTAATTACAAAACAAACAAATTATAATAAACAATGAAAATAATATCCTTAACATAAGTTTTTATCATTAGTTAACCTATGGTTCGTAAACTATAATGCAAAAAGCTCAATCTAAACTAGCTATCACCTATTTTTCTTTGGTAATATTGTGACAAATTAAAGGTATTTAATAATAATATTTCATATCTGTATAGAAGACACTAGATATCTTCACTTTAGGGGATTTTGAGTGCAATCTCAATTGATTTTTTTCTTTTGTATATAGATAAAGTAAAAGAAAATAATAGTTAA